CCCGCTTGGATACGTGCCTGGCTGGATGTCTCTAGTAAAGTGAGAGAGGGGGAGGGAGAGAGTATAAAAGAGGAGGAAGACAAGAACCCTGTGGAACTCCTGCCCTTATGGGTTTAAAACCAGAGGTTGTATTCTCATCCCGGAGAAATGTCTACGGCTTTATAAATCAATTAGTGGTCCATATGAAACACCACTAATATTCGTAAATGAACTAATGATTCTTGGTCTGTGAACCATACTAAGGTGTCTTTTACCATCACTGAGGTATATGTGCTTTTATAATATGTTGCCTTTACTACTACTAGTAGTTTTCCGTATGAACCACTAATTGGTTTGTAAGCCATATCTTTTTCTCAGTAGCATAACGAACTCTATAAACCGTCTTCCCTTGAAGAAAGAGGGCAAGAGCCTCATATGGTTGCTAGGGAGCATTTCACAGGGTTTTTCGACGAGACGTTCGTTCCAGACATGATCGGAAGCTTGCGTCACGTCAAGAAAAACCGATAAGTAGATAAAATGCCCAAGTTTCAGACAGGACATGGAAGGGATCTTTCAACCGACGAAATTTCGGTCCGAAACTCATAACCGCCGTTCGAGAATCCGAGCCTCCTCGTTTAGTTTAATGTTTTTGCCACTCAAAGTTTTCCCTGGCTGAAACTAATATTTTGTCACCGGAATCAAAGCTCAGGAAAATTCGGGTATATCCAACTTGAACTTTGTCGATTGAAATGTTTTCCTCCTCCATGCTCGCGGAAGTTTTGGTTGCATCAGTATTCAGTGAACTAGAGCGATTACTGTGATTTTTATCAAGAAAAGTGTGTCTTTGTGTTGCTGAACTGTATGACGCATCTATAAATTATTTCTCTAAATTCTGTAGATGTTTTGCTTGGAGAGAAACTCGCCCTCAGGATTTTCATAGGGTACGCATTTATTTTCCCGGGAATTTGGAATGTCGAGGCCAGTAAAATTGGCGGCAAAAGTCAACGCGGAGCCCAGGCGAAACAAAGGAAAAAGACCTTGGATAAGACTGAAGCCACGGCAGTGGCAGCCAGCGAGGCATGCCTCGTCGTGCCAGCTCCAGAAAAGGAAAGTTGCTGGCGAGCTTGCCAAGCTGCCCCGTTTTGCGATTTGCGACTCGCCTTAAGCCTCGCTCCATGACTCCGTAAAAGTGTTCGCGAGTTTGGGTCTTGAGCTCAACTGGCTACGTCGTTCAGCGTGCTGATTGTTTACCGCACTGTCTCCACGAAGAAAATACCTGGGGACGGAATTCAAGGGGTGCAGAATTCTCACGAGGTTTCTCAGAACCATTAAAAGCCGAGGTTTTTACTCGGAACGGGTCTCAAATCTTCCAAAATGTTAACACAATTTAAAGGCTCTCTTTCGAACTCCATGCTGAAAAATGTCTTCGAAGGACTCCTTTTGATTCGAGATTCGAGGATGAGGCGGGCGTGCTACTGTTACAAGGTCTCTTGATCCTTGTTTCTGTTTTGGGAAAACATTGCGTTGGAAGTGGTTTCAGCTAAGCAGACCAGATAGAAA